GAAAAGAAGCCAGATCAAGCAATAGCCGATGTGCACAACTTATACGTCTGTCTCCCGATTCAGTTATACCCGGTGCCCGTTGGGACGATCTGTTCGGTCCGGTTTTGTAGGTAGGGCTAACCCAAGGAGTTTAGTTCTAAGCTCCTTGGGCTAACCAGATTGAGGGCGCAAAGCGACCATCGTAGCACAAACTGCCCGCTCCATTCGAGGCCTCTTCGGACGATCGGTTGACTATCGGTTTGTATTAGAGAACCGATCCCCCAATTGGCACTGAGTACTGGGTATTAGATCTGAAAGATGGCGGCGGCGAAAAAAAGTTGTCCGATTTCCATTTTATCGCTTCAGCACAATCCTTTCAGCACGATTCCAAATGGTCTACATTGTTGTCGGTGTAAAACACCTATACGATTTTAAGGGAACAAATAGATTAAGTGGAACGCGACTCAGAGGGAAATAAGTCTCAAGGCAACTAGTATTCATTTGAGGAGTTCTACTGACTGCTGCATTGTTTTTCGTATTTTGTTCTTTTTATCGAAAGTACATCAGGGGAATGCACCAGGGTCGCTATGTATTGGCACATAATTATTGAGATTTTTTAAAAAAAAAGGCTTTTATTCTTTCATCTTAATTAGACAATTTAATTACTTTAAACCCATATCTGGTAGCATGGTGTATACTCCTTTACCCCCCCCCCCCCCTCCAACACACACACTCCCTCCACATACATTGCGAAACTTTCCGATTAGGGTTTTCAAGTTCCCTTTTGAAAAGGTATTCTCTCAGAGGACATTAACATTAAGGGGCGAAGACTTTTTAATCTGAATAGCGTTTTATAAGTGTTCCCTTGCTAGTCCTACATCCCGATCCGACTTGGTGAATAAATGTAAACAGCTTTCAAAAAGAACTCACCTCCTCTGGTGAAGGTAAATATCCCAGTAAGACAAGAAGCTTGACCAGCATGGGCTCTCCACACGAGAAGGTCTCCTGCAACATCCCCCGCCCCCAGCGACCCTCTCTGGCCAACTGGCAGCCATTAAACAGCAACAGTGCTGCGATAAAGGTATTGTCACACGCAATGGCAGCGGTCAGTGGCGTCCAGTGACCATCACTCTGTGACAACTGACAGCCAGACTCGATGAGAACCTTCCAAATGTTGTCCAGGTTTGGGTATGAGTTCCCTTTTGAAGCGATTTTATAGTAGAAGAAAGCTGTGAGGAAGGGACTCATATGATTGTGTGTGACTGCGTTTGTATCTGCGCCGTGCTTAATTAACACTTGCAGTAGGTTTTCATTTCCTGTCCTTGTGGCTTCGTGAAGCGGCGTCCACTGAAGTTCGTTCCGCGCGTTTACATCAGCGCCGTATTCACACATCAGGATAGATGTGGTTTCCAGATTGTTCCTCACAGCGCGGTGAAGTGGCGTATTCCCTGACTGGTCAGTCGCTGACAAATCTGCCTTCAGTGTGACCAGCAGAGAGGCAATATCCGATCGTTTGGCGTTGCACGCTATGTGAAGCGCTGTGTGTCCTTTAGAGTCACGTTTGTTCAAAAAGCCACCCTTCGTCGCTGTTGAGGCATCAGTCGGGAGTTGAGCACTCACCAGGAGCTGTGTGAGTCGAGCGTATCCGAACTCTACAGCCCAATGCAGAGCTGTACGCTCCTCCTCATCCACAAGAAGACAAGAGGACGGGTTATCGTGGAGCACTTGGACCACCAGGTCTTCCCGCGCTGACTTGGTCAAGTCGATGATGGACATGTCACGCAGTTCTTGGTCTTCTTTAGTCTTAGATCTTTGTGATACACCGCTGTCTAGATTAACACCCATGTTTATAGCAATCTGGGGTCAATTAACCATCACGTCGAATTATAACTGCTTGAACTTTTATCAGAAATATGTCACATTTTTCTGCCCTTGACACGCTAGCAGAACCAAAAAGCAGGGCGCTGAGCTATAGCGTAGAGTGGACGAGGTGTGATATTTAAAGTACTGTCGTTTGTTTCGTATATTGATTTGTTGATTACTTTGAACGTTTAGAAGCACACCGTGCGAATCAAATACACACAAGAAGAAAACTACATAATTTGTCTTCAGATTATTTCTGCAACGGTTTTTCTTTCTCTCAAGGCTGTTGCCTCCATCAAGAACAGCAGTTCTGACCTTCCAGTGGATTTGTCATGGGTTCATGAATAGCAGCATTATGTCAGGGCCTCAGTTGTGCGTTTAGCCTTGATGTTATTACGTCAGTTGCAAGGAATTCTGAGACCGGTTGCTGTGGAATATAAAGACAATGAAAAACAGTGAGACTTGGGCATGTAGACTAAAGTTGTGTACACGTTTGTGTGTGTGTGTGTGTGTGTTTGTGTGTGTGTGTGTGTGTGTGTATGTGTGTCTGTGTTTGTGTACGTATATGTGTGTGTGTGTGTTTGTGTTTGTGTGTGTGTGTGTGTGTGTGTGTGTTAATAAGTGTGTCCATACGTGTGCTCATGTGTGCGTGTGTATG